AAACATTCAGCTTTCATATGCATACATTGGATTCATTCTATCTATTATAGTTGAACACAACAACTACTTCTGCTACTACTACTGTTGCTATTATTAATACTGCTACCAATACTGTTACTGCTACTTAGGGTTTGTCGGTTTTCAAAACTGGTTTTTTGAAGAAATTTATATTCAAACATAAAAATAGCATGAACGTGAATTATATAAACCTGAAGATACTGCTTTTTCGAGTGTTACAAAAACGTTTTTTTCAACTTTGACCTTATAGACTATAGACCTTACTACTATTACTGCTATGATTATTGCTGCTATTTCAGCTTTGAAGTTAATTATTTAATAAAAAGTAATTAGAAATAGTCGAAAATATACGTAAATGATAAATGAAATTGTTTAGCTGTTGTTTTAGACGCGAAATAATTTGGGTCAATTAAATTGTTACAGCATTTCTTTTTTTTTTGATCTGCTTTTGAAAAGGGGAAACCCCTTCAAACAATAAGAGACCTTCAATTAACTGGCTTAAGTCATGTTTATCTTTACTTAGTTTGTCGAATATTTCACTAGAAATCCTCAATATCATTAAAAAAAAGTCCCTTAAGACATGTTTCATTAACTAAAAAATATTACAAAGTCTAATTGTTCAAAAGTGTTTTCATCTCGCTGTAACAATGTGCATAATTATGAAGGAGCGCAACTTGAAACTGAACCCATCGAATATGATTATTTTGTTTTAATTGCATAACGATTTTCAATGACGGAAACTGTGTTGCTGTGGTAACGTGTTATTGCTGCGTTACATCAGCACCCGGCGAAGCGATGCTGGTGGTGGCCATGGCAACAAAACCTTACAGATTTATGGTAATACATGCAAATTGGGGGGTGGGTGCGGGGGTGTGCGAAAGGGCTTCCGCCCGGTGGCGGCCCTTTGATCACGAAATTATTGTTTCAAATGACAGTGTCCAATGTACAATTAAATAAATTCAAATTCAACTTACATAATGATTCTTACAGTTCAATTCCGTTTTCTTTCATTATTTCCATGATCAATCACCGTCGAAACAAACTAAAATGATCTTATAACAACTATACTTCTCGATACGTAAGTAAACAAAGTTTTTCAAAACACACAACTGACATTCAACAATTGTTTAAATTTGACAACTGTTTCAATTGTTTTTTTAACAGAGCCAACTTAATAGTGACCATAAAAATACTTGTATACCAACTTAAATAATGTGAAAACACTGCTTTTTCGAACGTTTTTCAACTTTGAACGCGTATTACAGCAATATGGATAAGAGCACAGTAATGTATCTATACTTGCTGGATTCCCCAAACATTCAGCTTTCATATGCACACAACTGACATTCAACAATTGTTTAAATTTGACAACTGTTTCAATTGTTTTTTTAACAGAGCCAACTTAAAAGTGACCATAAAAATACTTGTATACCAACTTAAATACATTTCTTTTGTCATTAGCAACTATTAAAATTAATCTAGCAAAGTTGAAATGTTAAGTGAATTACAGAAGGAAATAATAGAAATTTTTATGTCCACTTTTTCGAATTCACGTTGACCTGGCTATTATTGCGATGATGCATCGAAGCTTATCCCGTCTGCAAAAAAAAAAAAGTAGAAAAAAAAATAAAACTGGATTTCTGCGGTGATGGATTACGACGGATTTCTCGTCGGGGCCCGGAGAATAATGACCCCGCTTTACGTCGTTACACATTCACACACACACTCGCACATTTCGAACGCTCCAATAACGACGTCAACGGATTGTTTCAGCTCATACAAAAAGCCAGTTAATCACCACTCGATACTTGCCAAATATAATTGTATTATCAAGTACTTTTGAAAATGCAAGTACTTGTGAAAGTAATCAAACTATAATAGTCATAGTAGTAACCTGAAAATTCTAATTTTTATAAAATTCCTTTATTCATATTTTATTATTTTTAGAAAAAAGTTAAGTAGCGCACTTTCTTTACTCTTCCACTACCCTTTTTTGCATGGAACGGGATTAGTGCGAAAGCCGCGAGAAGGGTGAATAATTTAAAATTCTCAAGCCTTTAATAAAGATAATGAAACATATTGTTTCATTTTCATAAGTTTTAATGTATGAATTAAATCAAACGATTTAGTGAATTACATCAACTTGACCCAGTCTACATTTATATAGAGATGTGAACAAGTTAGAGCGTAATGAATTTTATCGCTGATTTTTCGTCCTTTGTATGAAATGAAACGCTCTCTCGATGAATGTACAGAAATTTCGTTGGTTTTGTGAAACGAGGATAAAGAAGTCCAGGATGCGGCGACGATAAGAAAAACCAGTTGAACGTCGACGAGAGCAACAAACAAACAAACAAAGGTGGTTTTGTTCGGGGAAAAGCCGCAGCTCTTCAATTGAGTCGAAGGATAAATGCTGCAAAACATGTGAACACAATCCATTGGTAGCACAACACACACAGTGTATTTCGCAGAGACAAAGAGAGCAGAAAGTTCTCCAACGTCCAGGTGTTATTAGTTATTACATAATCGATTGAAGTGCCACCGTCGTCGTCGCGGTTTGTTGCAGAGACCGAGCGTCGTCCTCGCTCGGTTTCTGCGGTCGTAATGCATGCAGATTAGAGACGGCGGGGAATCCCCGCAGGAGATGCCCACTGTATGGACCGTAGATACCGTCCTTGGGATGGGGTCGTGGGGTTTGGAGAGATGTGGGGTCACGGCGTTGGGTTGGGGTTGGAAGTAAAAGTTTTTAACGAATGCAAATTGACTGTTTTGCATTTTAAATTCGCAATCAGGCGAAACGATCGCGCGCGCCAACAGCCGCAGCAACCGCCACCGGAGCCGCCCCCCAGCATAAATATTCATCTCGGGCTACCAACCCCGCCAACAAAAACACGGACCGAAATAATGCGACCACTTTGTACATCCACCCTCTTCAACCTGCTTATTATTTGTTGTGTTGGCGCTCCTTGTTATCATTTATAGTCCTTGTTTACCTGGTTACCATGAAAGACACAATCCTTATATATTCACATTCAAATTCGCCATCTATTGTCAATCAACATAACTAAATATTTTCAAATTCAAATCGACAGATTCGGATAGAGTTTTTATATAATGGATGTCCCAAAAATTAACGCAAAATTTGTATTTGCCGCCATTTGTGCAGTAAAGTGTCGGCAACCAAAAAAAAAAAACAATTTGATAGCTGAAAGGTGTTTTCTATTTCATTCATTCGCTCCTTGTTATCATTTATGGTCCTTGTTTACCTGGTTACCATGAGAGACATCCCCGCATCCTACGTTCATACAATCCTTATATATTCACATTAAAATTCGCCATCTATCGTAAATCAACATAACTAAATATTTTCAAATTGAAATCGACAGATTTGGATAGAGTTTTTATTTAATTCAAATCTTGCGTTAATTTTGGGAGCCCCTTTAGAATGATAATACATGTTTTCTACAATAATAACTAACTTTTGTTTGTACCAGTAAACAATAAATCACGTACCCTATGGGACTGAGAATCGCTGAACTACATAACTAATAATACCACCATAAATTACTAATTGCGTTGGCCCTACTTATTTACAATTATTACTATGGAAACAAAACATCTTAATTTCTTATATTGTAATGTAATTTCTATTGATAACTAAGATTGATCAGTAGTTTTCGTAATTAAAATGGCAATAGTTACAATTCTGACAATACGCACGTAAAGTAGCCTGAATATCTGCGATTAATTCGAGTACTCAATCATGTAATTAGTGTGAGTGGTAGTCGAGTTATAAAGGATGTCCCAAAATTAACGCAAGATTTGAATTTGCCGCAACAAATAGCAATTTGACACTTTTCTTTTACTTTGACTGCTGATTACAGGAGAATGGCAACAGTTTTTCTAACCTAATCGTAAATAAAGTTTTCTTAACCTTACCTTTCAAAAAAATATAGTTTATTTATCAGTATTTTCCGAGAAACTTTCATTGTTTAAATTGAGTAATTTTGAAAATCACCAATATTCTACTTGAATTTATCTTCAAATTAACAAATTTTGAATTTGCCACAAAAAAAACAATTTGACACTTTACTGTACAATGGGCGGCAAATTCAAATGTTGCTTTAATTTTGGGACACCCTTTATAGGAAAACATGAAGACACTGGATTTTTGTTTGTTAAAAACGTTTCTTCAACTTTCACTGGAGAATACAGGAAAATGGCAACAGTTTTCCTAACCTAATCGTAAATAAAGTTTTCTTAACATAACCTTTCAAAAAAATAAAGTTTATTTATCATTATTTTTCATTGTTTAAATTGAGTAATTTCGCAAATCACCAATATTCTACTTGAATTTATCTTCAAATTAACAATTTTTGAATTTGCCGCCAAAAAAAAAATTTGACACTTTACTGCACAAAGGTCGGCAAATTCAATTCTTGCGTTAATTTTGGGACACCCTTTATAAGAAAACATGAAGACACTGGATTTTTGTTTGTTAAAAACGTTTCTTCAACTTTCACTGCAGAATACACGAAAATGGCAACAGTTTTCCTAACCTAATCATAAATAAAGTTTTCTTAACTTTACCTTTCAAAAAAATAAAGTTTAAACATCGTTTACTTATCAGATTTTCTGAGAAACTTTCTTTGTTTAAATTGAGTAATTTTGAAAATGTATCTTCAAATTAACAAATTTTGTTTTTTTCAATGTTACAGTGCCTCCTACGTTACAAATGTTACCTTCGAATGGACAATCGACGACTAGGAAAGGTGGACCTGTCAGTTTCGAGTGCAGGGCTTCCGGGAATCCAACGCCTGTAGTTCAATGGTCGAAAAAGGTAACGTTTCAATTAATTCTCATCTTTCCTCAGTGGATGGGCGCACATCCATGCATTTATAACGTCTTATTTCCACACGTTCGCGATATTAACCGTGTCTGCAGCAGTAAAATTACAAAGTCCTCTCGCAACGAAATGAACCACTTTGTATTTATAATATCCCGGAAGTCCGCGAGACGCGATCCGCAAATTTCAATTAGGAAAAAGCGCAGTTACAAAATCTTTTTTTTGTATAAATTTACAATTTTTGCCTGTCACAAGTTCAAACGAACATTCCGTAATACCAACATTACTTATAACAGTGTTTACCAACTTAAATATAGTAACTTGATTTTACACTATACAGTTTAATAGAACACTTATATTTTATGTGATGTTTTGTATTGGAATTTCCGATCTGCAAATTTCACTTAGGAAAAGACGCAGTTTACAAAAAAAGGTAACCAGCACACTTCACCTTTTTTGTATAAATTTATAATTTTTGCCTGTCAAACGTTCAAACTAACATTCTGTAATACCAACATTACTTATAAAAGTGTGTACCAACTTAAATATTGTAACTTGATTTTACACTATACAGTTTAACAGAACACTGTTATATTTTATGTGATGTTTCGTATTAGAATTTCCGATCTGCAAATTTCACTTAGGAAAAAGCGCAGTTTACAAAAAAAGGTAACCAGCACACTTCATCTTTTTTCTATAAATTTACAATGTTTGCCTGTCAAACGTTCAAACTAACATTCCGTAATACCAACATTACTTATAAAAGTGTGTACCAACTTAAATATAGTAACTTGATTTTACACTATACAGTTTAACAGAACACTGTTATATTTTATGTGATGTTTCGTATTGGAATTTGCGATCTGCAAATTTCACTTAGGAAAAAGCGCAGTTTATAAAAAAAGGTAACCAGAATACTTCATTTTTTTTGTATAAATTTACAATTTTTGCCTGTCACAAGTTCAAACTAACATTTTGTAATACCAACATTACTTATAAAAGTGTATACCAACTTAAATATTATAACTTGAAAAGCGCAGTTTACAAAAAAAGGTAACCAACATTACTTATAAAAGTGTTTACCAACTTAAATATAGTAACTTGATTTTACACTATACAGTTTAATAGTAAACTGTATTATATTTTATGTGATGTTTCGTATTGGAAATTGAATTTCGTTTGTTTTTTTTTTATTTATATTTGGTACGCGTGATTTGTTTAACTAATATTAATGGAAAATAATCGGTTTAGCGGTCTGCCCATCAAAATCTATGTGTGCTGTGGAGTTCGGAAATTATCCGCATTGTAATTATTGATGAGGGAGCGGTCGCTTTTTGCCTACATGCAAGGATTTGCATGTGTGTGTTTGTGTATATATAAACATATATGTATGTATGTGTGTATTTATGTGCGTAATGCAATTTGATTGAATTAACAGATTTGGAATTATTCGATTTAGTTTAAATGCAAATTCACGTGCATGCACAAATACGCAGAAATCAGGGCTTGTGCGAAATTTAATCTGTCCAATTTATTATAATTTAAATAATTAATTACCGCTCATTTAATGGGGAAACAAAAAAAAAACTAGACAACAGCGAAATTCAAAGGTGGAATTGCGATTTAACATTTCAATTTTCGAAACATTTCCGATTCGCTTTTCATCGATAATTCTTCCAAAATTTCGCTTGATTCATGATTTTTATATGAATATAACATTTCCATTATATTAATACGTTTCCAATTTGCAATTTTGTTCAAATTTCGCATTTTTTTTTTACAATACACTTCCTGAAATATCTTTATTGATTATTTTAATGTTATTTCATGCTATTTTTAATCAATTATTACAGTTTTTCAACTAATTTTTTTTTACAATTTTTGAAAATTTTGTTACATGTTCTGTAAATCGATTATTTCACTCTTTTTTTGAACTGTTCAAATTTCGCGCGCTTTTTTTACAATACACTTCCTGAAATATCTTTAATATTCTCTTTATTGATTATTTTAATGTTATTTCATGCTATTTTTAATCAATTATTACAGTTTTTGAACTAATTTTTTTATACAATTTTTGAAAATTTTGTTACATGTTCTGTAAATCGATTATTTCACTTGTATTTTGAACTGTTCAAATTTCGCGCCTTTTTTTACAACAGACTTCCTGAAATATCTTTAATTATCTCTTTATTGATTATTTTAATGTTATTTCATGCTATTTTTAATCAATTATTACAGTTTTTGAACTATTTTTTTTTACAATTTTTGAAAATTTTGTTACATGTTCTGTAAATCGATTATTTCACTTTTATTTTGAACTGTTCAAATTTTGCGCCCTTTTTCACAATACACTTCCTGTAATATCTTTAATTTTCTCTTTATTGATTATTTTAATGTTATTTTATTCTATTTTTAATCAATTATTACAGTTTTTCAACTAATTTCTTTTTACAATTTTTGAAAATTTTGTTACATGTTCTGTAAATCGATTGTTTCACTTTTATTTTTGAACTGCTCAAATTTCGCGCGCTTTTTTTACAATACACTTCCTGAAATATCTTTAATTTTCTCTTTATTGTTTATTTTAATGTTATTTTTAATCAATTATTACAGTTTTTGAACTAATTTTTTTTACAATTTTTGAAAATTTTGTTACATGTTCTGTAAATCGATTATTTCACTATTTTTTATGAACTGTTCAAATTTTGCGCGCTTTTTTTACAATACACTTCCTGAAATATCTTTAATTTTCTCTTTATTGATAATTTTAATGTTATTTCATGCTATTTTTAATCAATTATTACAGTTTTTCAACTAATTTTTTTTTTACAATTTTTGAAAATTTTGTTACATGTTCTGTAAATCGATTATTTCACTATTTTTTTTGAACTGTTCAAATTTCGCGCACTTTTTCACAATACACTTCTTGAAATATCTTTAATTTTCTCTTTATTGCTTATTTCAATATTATTTAATGCTATTTTTAATCAATTATTACTGTTTTTGAACAAATTTTTTTACAATTTTTTTTTTGAAAAATCTTTTGAAGTTATATTTTTTTGCTAATTTTCATTGATTTATCTCTATTTAATCCAAATGTACACAAAATACGTATATTCTGTGTTCATATTTTTCAATTTTCATTCAGTCTGTGAAATATGGTGAAAATATGTATGCTAATAAGTGCGAAACTTTCTGCCGTGAATCGCGTTTAATTTACTTCCTTTTTCCTCTTTCTCTCTGTACTTTGGCGTTTTTAATTCCGCCTTTTGTGCGGCGAAAAAATGCGGATTACATCCACCCCGGCGCTAATTACGTGCCTTCAATCCTCTCCTATTTACCATATGCGAAGAGTGAAAGAGAGAAAAAAAGTACGTATGTTCGTATTGATTTTTGTTTTATTATTATTATTCATATGTTTTAATTAGTGAAAATTAGAAGGTTTCGCTGCTAATCAAATTTTCTTCACGAACCCAATCCAATTAATTATCAACTGCTCAATTTACGTTAATTATATAAAGAAAGAATTGACTCATATTTTGTTAAATTACAAATGTTAACTATTATGAAGCTTTTTGTTTAATATAACATTTTGTAACAAAAATTGAAAGATTTCTAATGTCAATGATAATAAAAATTATGTTTCTGACTTATTTCAAGTCAAAGATATTTGAAATTCAAATAGTAACGTTTCTTTTATGACAAATTTCAAAATAATTCTACTAAAAACATCTTTTTTGAATCATTTTTTTAACAAAGTAATTTAACAATAAAATAATTACACTTCTTTTATGACAGTTCAAATATTTGAAATTTGGCGACCAACGTGGGGCTTTTTTTAATATTTATTTGTTTTTTTTTTTCTTGTATTGCAGGATGGATTGTTGCCATCTGGGATGCAGGTGCAGACAGGATACTTGCTCTCACTTTCGGACGTGCAGAGGCAGCACGGAGGGATCTACGAGTGTACAGCGTCCAACGGAATCGGGCAACCTGTAACCGGGACCATAAATCTACACGTCCTTTGTAAGTGCTTGTCCCAATCTAATAGCTAGAAAAGCGAACAAATTTGATAAAAGTATACAATTTTGACATTACAAAGTTTCTAAAAAGTTATATAAACTTATCAAAAAAGTTGGTAAAAAGTATACTATACAAATGTTGATTTTAACAAAGTTGCTAAGACGTTATTTATTCAAATTTGCTGAAAATTTGGCTTTACAAAATTGGTGTAGAATTGACTTTTCAAAGTTTGTAAAAAGTTGCTAAAAAGTTTACTTATTTAATGATCACTATACAAATTTGACTAAAAATTACTTTTGTAAAAAGTTAACTTTTGTAAATTTTGTAAAAAGTTCACTATATAATGTTGATTTTATCAAAGTTGCTGAAAATTTAAATTTACAAAACTAGTGTAAAATTGACTTTTCAAAGTTTGTAAAAAGTTAACTATACAAAGTTATTAAAATTTATTAAAAAAGTTGGCGATGTATAGTTGGTAAAAGTTAACTATACAATGTTGATTTTAGCAAAGTTGCTGAAAATTCAACTTTACAAATTTCGTGTAAAATTAACTTTTTAAAGTTTGTAAAAAGTTGCTAAAAAGTTTACTTATTAAAATGATCACTATACAAATTTGACTTTACAAAATTGGTCTAAAATTGAATTTTGGAAGTTTGTAAAAAGTTCACTATACAATGTTGATTTTAGCAAAGTTACTGAAAATTCAACTTTACAAAATTCGTGTAAAATTGACTTTTGGAAGTTTGTAAAAAGTTGATTACAAAGTTGCTAAACAGTTTACTTATTAAAATGATTACTGTACACATTTGACATTACAAGTTAACAAAGTTGCTGAAAATTTAAATTTACAAAATTGGTTTGGTGTAAAATTGACTTTTTAAAGTTTGTAAAAAGTTAACTATACAAAGTTACTAAAAAGTTATTTAAACTTTATAAAAAAGTTGACTTTATATATTTAATAAAAGTTAACTATTCAATGTTGATTGTAACAAAGTTGCTGAAAATTCAACTTTACAAAACTAGTGTAAAATTGACTTTTCAAAGATTGTAAAAAGTTAACTATACAAAGTTATTAAAAAGTTATTCAAACTTATTAAAAAAGTTGACTATATATAGTTGGTAAAAGTTAAATATGCAATGTTGATTTTAACAAAGTTGCTAAAAATTTAAATTTGCAAAATTGGTGTAAAATTGACTTTTCAAAAGTTTGTAAAAAGTTAACTATACGAAGTTACTAAAAAGTTATTCAAACTTATTAAAAAAGTTGGCGATATATAATTGGTAAAAGTTAACTATACAATGTTGATTTTAACAAAGTTGCTGAAAATTCAACTTTATAAAATTAGTGTAAAATTGACTTTTCAAAGATTGACTATAAAATGTTTTCTTAATAAAAAAATGTTGACTATACAAAGTTAGTAAAAAGTTGACTTATTAAAGTGTGTATTAGAAGATAGAGACAGATAGATTCTGTGTGTGTGTGTGAGAGAGAGAGAGAGAGAGAGTGGATTTAAATTAAATCGCATGCGATTTCGTTAGTCGAGTTTGGTTACAATGAATACACCGGATATTAGCCGGGGGTTAAACGGTTTTAATCCGCTCGCCGCAGACAGGCGGCGTCACCGAGGAAGAGCAGATTTATGCGGCTAATGCTAATAATGTCAGTTAATCCCACTATTAGTCTATCTCTCTCTGCATCCATCCATGCGTGTGTCTTCCCCTAACTCCGACATGGCTGCAAACATCAGTAATAATTGCAATTGTACCAACTGTTGTAAAAAAAAAAGTTGCAGCTGAAGTTGCACCAACTGTTATACAAAAATTATAGTTGTACCAATTGTTAGAAAAAAAAAAATACTATACTGTTCTTTTTGTTTGCAGATCCTCCGGAAGTGAACGTGCTGCGTTCGTGGGTGAACTCGGGTGAAGGATTAGAGGCGAAGTTGGATTGCGTGGTGCACGCGGACCCCCCGGCGGAGGTGAGTCCCAACGAAGAGGTTCTCTCTCCTTTTGATCCCAGACATCATCTCCGGCAAAGACTTCGGGGGCAATCAAACTTTGCCGATCCGAAGTTTCTGCTTCCTCTCTGCCAGTGAGCGACTTTCTCACCCGCCGCAGAATATCGGAGTCGAACCCCCATCCTCATCCCCGTTCTTATCCCACCTCTCCGGTATCCGTCCCACCGCGCCAATTTTCCATTTCCTCATTAGGAGAGAGAGAGCGTATAATTACAAAGTTGTTCAATTAACATTTCCCAGATAGAGAGCGGATCCTCCACTATAGATATAGATATATAAGACTAATTCCCTTCGACAATGCCGCAAATGGAAATCGTTTCCTCCCTTTTCATCTTCGGAGATGAAAAGAAACGCTGCACTGCGAAAGAGACATTCGCATGCAGATTGGAAGAACATTGGAAGACATAAAAAAAAAATTCATATATTGATTGGCTTTTTCCCATTGTTACAACTTGATTTACACACTACTTGTCAAGTAAACTAATTTGATTGTTTACATTATGAGATTATGAAACAATTGGACTATTTGACAAGTAGTTGACACGTAACTTCTGCATTCTTTAAATTTTGAACAATTCAGTAAAACATTTTACTTGCCAAGTAACGCGACAAGTACTGACGAATTGCATGATGAATTGTGAGCAGTAAGCAAGAACAAATTGAAGCAGTCCAATTATTATTTTTTGACAAGTAAACTAATTTGATTATTTACATTATGAGTAAGTTATGAAACAATTGGACTATTTGACAAGTAGTTGACACGTAACTTCTGCATTCTTTAAAATTGGAACAATTCAGTAAAACATTTTACTTGCCAAGTAACGCGTCAAGTACTGACAAATTGCATGAACTGAGCAGTAAGCAAGGACAAATTGAAGCAGTCCAATTATTTTTTTTGACAAGTACTTGACAAGTAAACTAATGTTATTATTTACATTATGAGATGAGTAAGTTATAAAACAATTGGACTATTTGACAAGTAGTTGATACGTAACTTCTGCATTCTTTAAAATTGGAACAATTCAGTCAAACATTTTACTTG